AGGAAGAGAAGAAGACTTGTAATGCTTTGTGGTCTACGACCCAGAGTAAATGTTGAGTGCGAACGAGTGGCGTGCTGGGTTTTATAGGTGATAGTGTGTATTTAACTAAGGTATGTCTATAAATTTACAATTCCTATATATATTCGATGGGTGTCGTTACAGCAGTCAACACGCTGCTACTTAATGCACCTTCCTCTTGAGCCATATAGTTCCCTTCAGCTACCTACAGATCCAGCAAATGAAAAGCATTATCGTCTTAAGGCAGAGCCATCGTACGGTGCTCCTGTCGCACTATGATCCAAACCGGGTAGCTTGGTACGCGATTGTTCTATCCATCCCCATCGGCGTATATTTATCGACGATCACGCATTTTGAGAGTTGATATTAGCCAAAAGCCAGTGCTAGCAAATTCTTAAATAACATTATGTGTCTTGGCAAGCACACTATTTAGCCACGCTCTATATGCTAGTAAGATTTCTAGTTCCTCTACCGATCATGAAGCGGATCCCGACGAGATACTATTTGGGCTTGACAGGCTTGAAGACGTAGATATTTGGGGGCTACAAGATGTGTTTGGAGCTTGGAGGAAGAAAAAGAAGTAGAATGCATTGATTGCAGTTGCACTTTCAACAATTCTATTTCGTAAGATGGCTCGCACAGCCGACGTAGGTAAGAAGATGTGGAAGAGCAATTCTGCTTAGTATGATTTATGCAAACTGTTCCTAAAATTTGATGAAGGTCCCTTGATTCATGAACGGCATTCTGGAAACGGCGACTGGCTTCAGGTACGATGAACTCACTTAAGATGTCACAGTTCAAATGTTGTCTAAAAAGTAGGAAGAGGGGCGGCAGACGCATTCCAGAGGCACTGACACAGGCGACTAGCTCCAGGTTAAATTTTAAGTCAATACAAATCATCCAAACTTCTTCGATCTGCGCACAGCGATGACCTTCCTTGACTACGTCTTTTAACTAGATCCTTTCTCGCCCATAACGAACACTCTGTCGCTGGTGAGTTTACGCTTAATTGCATGCTTGATTGGCTGATGCAAAATCTGGAATTTTTTTTTTTTGTGGACTTGGTTGGCAAGATAAAAAACTTGGGGCATCCTAACTGAAAGCTCGGAAGACAAAAAGAGAGCTTGACCCATCGATCGTTTAGAGGCTAGCAAATTGCGCGAGACTGTAAAGAACGCCTATGCCTCGTTTGCTTTGCTAAGTCCCATCCCACGCGTAACAGATGGACCTTCTCGCGGCACATCCACAATTCAGGCTGGAGGTCGTCTTTAAAGAATTAAAAAAGAACGGTCGGTAACCCAGTTCTTTGATTGGCGCACCAGAGCACTAATGCGTAGCGCGGCGGCAGAACGTTCTTTCTGAAATTGTGGGAAACAACTTGCAATCCGTGTGTCGCAACAGACCTCGTTGACGAGCACTCACAGCCTTAGCGAGACTGTCTCGTCTGTAGATCTTTCTTTTCGCCATCGTGCGTTGTGGTGGTATACGATCAACCTGCGTTAAACGAATGTGGGCGGCCATCAAATTGACCCAGTTTTTTTAATCAGACAATCAGATTGCTCAGATTTATCAGCTCTAGCATCTGGTTGGCTTCTACCGATTATTGTCTAAAAACTGGTTGTAGTCCACAACCTGGCTTAATACCTTAGAATTACGCTAAACGTCGTGCTGAGAGCAATTTAGTCGGCCACCTCCTGCGTTTGTGAATGATGACGCTCGGTGTATCTTACACGTCGCAGTAAGGGCGATGTTGTATGTTACCTGTTGTGTTCGTAAGTGATGCTTAGTGTACCTTACACATCGTGCTAAGTGCGTCGTAGCATGTTGCCTCATTTGCACGCATCTGCACATAAACACTCGGTGTACCTTACACGTCGTACTTAGTGCGGTATAGCGTTTATCTCCTCTTCATTGTAACTACGCATTATTGCGATCCCGACGGTTGAATCTGTAAATGACAGAGCTCTAGCTACGTGAATATGCAGAACTTAATTCATGTAACGGGGTAGCCTGATACATGATATCGACACCAAACTTTGTCAATAGGAAAATTGTCCAGCATGACAATATCCTACCAATATTATCCGAGATGGATAAAATTGAAGGAATACTATGCCCTTTTAGGATAATATTCATGCGCTGCTCAAAGATTGGTTGATAAAATAAATATCAACCATAGATTGCCGCCAATCGCTGCTAGACGCGCGCAATGAGTGGTGAGCAGGTTGTCGTCATACGACGACGTAGTTTAATATAGTTAGAAAAGATTAAAGTTTTTTGATAGCTTAACTAAATTAAATACAGTTCTCTTTTTACCCTTTACTCAAACGAACTATTTAATTATATTAGCCTCCTCTGCACGTACTTGTGTACGTGAAGTTTCGCGGCACCTTATACAGAGGTGGCCCGTTACGATTTAGTTCTTTGAACTGGATTGGTCATATAATTGAGCAAGCTCCAAAGCTTGCTCCCCTATTGTATGTTTATAAGAAAGACTAACTAGCGGTACAGCAATGATCTATCGTGTGTTAATAAGTAAGACTAATGACTGGTGCAGAATATGACCTGATGTATGTTAATAAGGCAGACTTATCACCGGTACCGAAAATGACCACTGGCCTTCTATCCGCCTTACCTTTACCTTTTGCTATAAATTCCAGCCTCGCATACGAAGCTATGTAGCGGGGCTACCTTTTCTTGTTTGTCATAGGAAATCTTTTAGACTTGTAGAGTCTCTCAGTATATCAAAATAAATGGGCATTGTTAAAAGGGTATCAAGTCTTGCAGACGTGGTGAGACCTAACACTATGTGTATTTACAAGCTCCTAAGCTTCTCATCCTGGTTCAGGGGACTACGACTTCAAGGTATTACGTGGCACTAATGCCCAAGAGTAAGTAGCCATAACTCAAGCTCTTAGCTCTTACGACCAGGGACTTCATAGAAAGTCATGTGTCTGAAACCGAACGAAAGGGAACTGAATGTATTTACTAATTAATAGTGATAAGAAACCTTACTTACGTCTTTAACCTTAAAACTCTGCTACCTGATCGAATATTTTCTCATCGTAGTTCTACTTGTGTACCACACTAGAACTACGTTGCCTTTATGAAGACCCTAATGCGATAGATATCCTCATACCATAACCGATAGGGTACGGCATGATCGCTAAGCGTATGTGATGCAATAGTATGCCTCATCATTAATACTGATCTATTTGTGTGTGTACCACACCAATATGTCTGGCTATCACAACCATTTGTGAACCCCGTTACACGGCCCACGAACGAGGATCTCAAGTCGTCTACTTCCTCAGGTAATCGATTTCCTCAAGTCGTCTACTTCCTCAAGTTATTGACTTCCTCAAGTCGTCTACTTTCTCGAGTAATCGACTTCCTCAAGTAATCGACTTGTTTTGCGTCGTTCATTTCGTACCACGAACGATCAAGACCTTTTTACACATATCTAGATAGAAGAACTGTAGTAGATGTTCGCCCCTCGTCAAATGCACAATCTGCTTTGGCTTGTTCCTGTCGTTGTTCTGCTACGTGATCGTACGATGCGTGCAGCTAGTACGCAGAAAAGGTGACTACGTTGAGTGTTCTTGATGTCGGAACTGGAGTTCGTCGAGTCTCTTACGTGTAGTATCGCTCCCCTCGCAAAGGTTAGCACTTACAACGCATGAACTCGCTTGCAGAGCGTCCAATGTCGTTGTACTCATTGTCTAAAGCAGCGATACTTTAGACAATGAGACTCGTTTTTTCGATCCCGACGTCTGCACGAGCAGCGAATTGCTTCGGTATAGCATGGCAATAGTAGACGCAATGTTCTTATAAACTTCGCTTTGTGCTCGATAACAATTACAAGAAGGCTAGAATGTGCGCCCACACACTTCTATAGAACTGGTTTGCAAGCAGGTGATCAGTTATCACGATCGACATCTGACAGAAGGGACGCTGTGGTCGTGGTATTGCCACAGCTACGAATTCGAATGAATGAAGGCCTGTATGGTCGTTGTACCCTGTACCTTCCCGATGTACGTGTTAGATACAAATGCAGCTCTCACTCACTCAATCCGATCGTCACATACCGCTGGAGACCAAGTCGACACTTCAGTTGTGCAAATCTACATTTCTTCGTCTCTCAGTCTTAGCTATCTCATCTTTACAGGTCTCAATCGTTCTTCTTATTCTCGCAATGGCAATTGTGCTATTTTTCTTTACGACACCCGCTTTGCCTCCTTCCTTCTTCACTGTGCGCTCGCATCACCGGTCCGTGTTTACCATTCACTAAACACGTGATGTACTGCATGATTCCGATCCTTCAGTTGCCAATGCAGCAAAAACATCAAAGGGACAGCAGTCCATACACCTAACTGAAGCTCTTCCTACATTTGTCAGCGGATGGTGGACGTTAGCAGTAACCAACTGAAACATTGTTTCCTACAGACTTGCTACACGGTTTGGTCCATTCGTAATCGAAATGGAAGGTTTCGCTATGCCTCGACTACTCATTCTGTTCTCGACTGTCCCATACCAAAACACGACAACTACGTGACGTAATCTATCGTGTCAGATGTAGAGAAGTTGGTTAGTAATGATCCCGCCGAGAGGAACCATCAAAGCAACAGGCTTTCATTTTAGCTCAAGCAGATTGTATCGTGGTCCTAAAACCGAGTAGCCGCGCGCCGGCGAACGGCCTAACGATATCCTACAGTTCAGAGCTTCGGTCCGACACTTGGTTTTCCTCCACGAAGCAGCTGGTTGGGCAGCAGTGCGCGCACGGCTTTGTGCAAACCCATCGCAGCGTTGCAGCCGCGAGTCGCAAGAGTCTCTCACAGTTTGTATGGTGTAGAAACACCAGGCGAAATCGCGGCTCGTCCAGTCGCAGTCGTTCTCTTCACTGCACTATCCATCTATCGGTCTGTCTATCTGTCCTATCAGTCGGTCCGTCGGTTCTCCAATCTCGGGCGGGTGTACTGGATCTATTTATAGCAAAAGAAGCCCTCGAGCTCCACCACTCTTCCCTCAACAGCGCCCGTGTCTGAATCCCGGCATTCCTCCATTATCCACTCTACCAGGTCCATCAACTCTCGCAGGTCAGTCTTTTCACCCTCCCACTCGCTCGCTCGCTCTCCGATTATCATTTCCGCACTCGCGCGCCAGGTCGACGCCGCTGTCGCGTCTCTTTGTCCGCTCGCTATTGTTCCATCTGCTCGTCGTTCAGCGTTGACGAGCACACGACGACGCCGACGAGCTCCCGTCCTACCGTCTCCCGTATACAAAGCGCAAGAGAGAGAAGGAGGAGGACAGGAGCGCCAGCACTTGCGTGTTGAAAATGGGCGCCGAGCTGAGTCGCCCCGTCATGAGCTCAGTCATTACGAACCTCAAGGACGACGCCGCCGACCGTCGACGCGTCGGAAGCAGCAGCGCTCTGGACGCTGCGCCTTCCCAGCCGTCGCTCCGGTTGCCCACGTCTGCCAGCACGACGGCCTTGGCGTCCATGGCTTCGAGCCGACAGAACAGTCGCAGCAGCAGTGCGAACGCCAAGGCCAAGCTGCTCGAGGGCAGTTTCTTCTCGAGCATGCGGCGCTCGAGGAACAATAGCAAGAGCTTGACGCCGCCGTCGTCCAGTAGCTTGGGCGACCACGCTGTCGAGAGTCTTGACCTGCCCATGGTCGAGTGGGAGGGATACGTGACCAAGAGAGGACACTTGGTGCGCAACTGGAAGATGCGCTTTTTCACACTGGAAGGAAATTTACTCTCGTGTACGTGATGCAAGAGACCGTATGAGAGAGGGGGTTGCAGGTGTCTGACTGACTGGTTACTTTTGCTGCTGTTTTTTTTATTTTTGCTGCTGGTGTTGCGGCTGTGACAGACTATGAGAACAAGGTGGACGCGCGCAATCGAAGCCATTTGAAAGGCCGCGTCCATGTGGCGTCGGTCAAGATGGACAAGGTGGCCAAGAACGGCCACGGCTTTGATTTTTCGTTCGAGACCACGGAGAACAAGGTTTTCCACTGCAGCGTGCCTACGCAGTTTGACCAGCTAGCTTGGGTCTATTTCCTAGAGGCGGGAGTCGATACGGTGAGCATGAAGCAGAACAATAAGCTAGTATACAACACGTACCGCCATGGAGCACTGCCGGACATGCGCACGGAAAAGGGCTACGAGGTCTACCAGCGAATGCTCAGCGGCGACGCGGGTATTGTGACGGAACTGCTGTCGTACTTTAACAAGGATCTTGTCTTCTCGTCGTCGTACCCAAAGAGCACGCCGTTTAGCGGTGACTACTTTGGCCGTGAAGGTCTGCTGCACTTTCTGGGTGCGTTTCAGAGCAACGTGGATTTGGTTGAGATGGAAGTGAAGGAACGCGAGCTGGACGCAGATGGAAAGAGTTTGACGGTAAAGGGAACGGAGACACTCAAGAGCAAGCGCTCGGGCGCAGTGATTACTCAGTCGTGGTCGCACCGTCTGCGGTTTGGTCCGAACGGACGCGTGTTGCGCTTCCGTGTTGATGTGGATTTGAAGAGTGCGACAGGTAATTGGAAGTCGTTTGGAGTCAAGAATCCGTACCCCGAGTTGTCCGATGCGTCAGTGCGATCTAATCGATCCTTGAGTATTTCCATGAAGGACTTTACGGTGTACAACGTGATTGGTAAAGGTGGTTTCGGTACCGTCGTGAATGCCGTGAAGAAAAGTGACGGTCAAATTTACGCACTGAAGATTTTAGAGAAGAGCAAGATGACCAAATACGACGTAGAGAGCTCGTTTACGGAAATGCGAGTGGCCCAGAACATCCACCACCCGTTTATTGCAGGTTTGCGCATTGCCTTTCAGAGTCGCACGAAGCTTTTTCTCGGTATGAACTACTACGGTGGTGGTGATCTATTCCACCATATGAGCAAGGGCTCGAGCTGCCGGATACTACCGGACCGCGCTCATTTTTACACAGCTGAACTGGTGCTCGGTATTCATCACCTGCATCAGCACGACATTCTCTACCGTGATATCAAACCTGAAAACGTGATGATCGATGCGGATGGCCATGTCGCACTTGTGGACTTCGGTCTTGCCAAGCTGCACGTGTCGGAGTTTAAGGGTGCAAAGACCATGGCGGGTTCACCTCAGTACACAGCACCGGAGTTGCTACTGCCCAAGGCGAAGCGGTCATACGGTAAGGCAGCAGATTGGTGGAGTCTTGGCATCTTGCTTTACGAGATGAGTGTAGGCAAGTCTCCTTTTTACGACAACAACATTGAAAAGATGTACCACAAGATCCAGAACGACCCTCTGGTCTTCCCCACAAAACCAATGCTTGCGGACGAGCTCAAGTCGATTCTTCGAAGCTTTCTCCAGAAGGACCCCACAAAGCGCCTCGGCACGAATATCAGCGACATTTTAAAACACCCGTACTTCCGTGGCATTGATTGGGATTTGCTGCTGAAGAAGCAAATTACTCCACCGTGGAAGCCGAAGCTCACATCACTTCTTGATGTAGAGTACGTGGACGCGGAATTTACAGACTTGGACGTGAACAGTGAAGTCCAGTCACCGACGGACAGGTCGGCAGCCAAGTCTAAGGGTTTTTTGTCGCTTGTGTCGAGCCGGGGCAACCGTGACAAGGCAGCTCCTCCGGTTCAGGACCCAACATTCAAGGATTTCACCTACTTCTGCGAAGATCCAGATGCTCTTGTGGAAGTCACGAACTTGGTGTCTGAATTGCGACCACCACCGCCGCCTGCCAGTCCCACGCCGGGTCGTCCAAACGTAGAGGACCTCGATGAGTCTGATCAAGCAGGAGTGCACGATGCTAGCATTCCTTCAGAGTACGGGGGAACGCCGCTATCGTCATTTGTTGAGAATGGTCTATTGAACCCGATGCCGATTTCACCCAAGCAGTTTCACGAAGGCTTGAAGAAGCTGGAGGCATCGATGGTCGAGCAATTTGAGCGCGTTGAGGTTACCATCTCCCGTGGGCGGCCGCCGGCTAAAAAGGCAAATGGAAGTTCGTGCTCGAGCAGCGAGGAGCACGATCACGACCACGTTCGAGTAGAAAAGCTTGTGATCTCGCATGGACCGTCGAACTCGATGGAAAGCACGGGCGCCGCAACAGCGAAGCGACATGAATCGAGTCAACACTCGTGCGATTTGTCTCCGTCCAGTCCCAGCGGTAAGTCTCGGGACTTATCCGGATCAAGCGACGTTGCCAGTCATGGCGTGAGCTCGCATGAATACGCGGCTAGAAGCAGAGGGTCATCTGCTGCAAGTCCTACAGCTGTTGATACCGGAACTAGTGTTGAGGTAGAATTTTAGCAAGACGGTTTCCATATTTCAAGAATGGCGTCCAGCGGTGAAGACGTTGACGCATGTCATCAAGACAGGAAGTGAAGTGCTGCTACCAATGTGGCTTCAGTATTCGCGTTCGTGATGCTGTACATGTTAGACTGACGTGAAAGAAAATAACAATCAATGCACCCAAGATGTTGTGTCGTACCTCGCTACACACCGAGTGGTCTGCCGATGTGTCCATGATCTGGTTTGCAAGATCCATGGCATTGTCGGTGCCGGCAGACTTGTGCGATCCCATCATTCCACACGACTTTGAGTGGCGACTGACAACTGGATTGGGACTCATGACCATTCAGATGAAACGGGACGTTGCACTGGACACGCGATCGCAATTCAGTGGTCTGCTACTTACGTCAAGGCTTGTCTCAGACGAACCATGGGGCTCAGTTCTTGGTATGCAACGATTTCACCATCATCGCAAACGTCCGAATTGTGTCGTCACCGTTTCAACCTGCAGACAATGCCTTGCGAGTACGCACCACCTATCACTAGAACCAGTGACCGTGTGACTTGAGCGCAAAGCAGGATGTCTTCTTCTCTGACCTCGTCGCTTGCAGCAAACCCTCTCGGGAATAGAGCGAGCACGGACGTCTGGTATGCATGACGAGATCCAGGTTCCGTTGTCGTCACACAAATGAGACGATGCTACTGTTTTGGCGCAGGATGGTGACCAAGGTCTGCGCTCCATGTACCGATCGAGAACGAAGAGAGGGGAGGAAGAATCTACGACTGGCAGCGCTTAAAGCTACGAGGTACCAGGATTTCTTCCAGCTGGTTTGCAACAGCTATTTGTATCTGAGGAAGGTCTCAAAGAAGCTTACAGGCGTTCGTGGGCCCTCGATAGGCTAATGCTGGCAGGTACCGTTTCCTCTGGGGTGTGCTAGTAAATAATTGTTTATGTGTCAAACAAGTGCGAGGTCTCATTCACGACAACGACAGTGGCTAGCGTCGATATCGTATCCCCAACATCAGGCCCATCCTGTAAACTTGCCGAAGGTCAATGTATGCATGTTGTTGCATGCCACTCGATCGTCACGGATGAGTGTGGCAGAGTGAGGACCCATGTGATCGTTCAAATGCCTTACAGACTGCACATTCTCAAATGTAGGATTGCAGCAGTATTCGGTCGGCTTCGGAGACGTTTCTGTCGATTCGGAATGGGACCTTTACAACTTCTGCAAACCCCTCGTTGACCTACAAGTGCACAAATTGTCGTCAGTCGGCATTACATGCACTTGCACATTGAAATGACACACCGTTGGTGGCACGACATTCTTGTAAAACCCATGAATGGCAACGTCCGGAACTTTGCGCTCCAGCGTCAGCGACCTGAACGTGTTCAAGTGCATCGAAAGCGGCTTGTCGATATCCATTTCAAAGCACCGAATGGGCAAATTCTGACAGCACAACACACCAATTCAAGGAGCATCGAAATCAGGCTTCAGGTTCTCAAACTGTAATCGCACATGCCATGCCACGCGTGATCACGTACTTTTTCCTTCGCAATTGCAATCCACTCCTTTCTTGCACGCGGGTCACGATTCGTACTGTCGATGACCACACTTTTCTTCTGCGTGATCGCTTCAACACACTTCTTCTTGCACTTAGCAGCTGTCTGCAGTTCGTCTTGACTTACGACGACGTATGAGCTCAAATACGTGTTCGCAAAAAATGACTTTCCCGATGCGGGCGGGCCAACGAGGACGACCAGTTCCTGCTCTTCTTTCACGGCTTGAGCCGACGGAGGATCTAGCAAAGGTTCTGCAATGCACATGCGGCCGGTTACTCGTCACTCCAGCTGAAAAATAAAACATGCAAAGAGCACATCTCACCAGCAGAGTCGTTCAAAGTGATGGACTTGGGATCAAAGCCAAGCTCCCACGTGTCGGGACGCGTGTGGACCCGCTGTTTCGTACCTAAGAACAAGTCTTCAGGCGTGAAAAAGCGAACCCCAGCGTTTAACGCAAGCTGGTAATCCGTCGAAGCAAAGTCTTTCGAGCGACCTGCGACCTTCGGTCTTCCTGCAGCATCTCCACAATAGAAACTGACTTCCTTATCAATCCCTTGTTCACTCTTCGTGCTCAGCCGCTTTGTCAGTTCCTTCCACGCGCCTAACCGAGGTTTACGCATATTATCGTCCTTGGTGCTAAAACAGACTAGCATAGGCAACCCCAGCTTCTTTACAATAGCCTCCAGCTTATTCTACGCAACAAACAACAACACGAGCAATGCGTGAAAAACTACACCAAGTCCGTCACGACGAGAACCACCCTACAACACAAGCACCAAAAACAGCACACAAATCAACGTGTTGCTTTTTACCTGCATCTGAGCCGCCGTGACATGTCCCTTAGCAACCCCATGTTGGTTCGAGATAATCGCGAGCGTGTACCCTTGACGCACCAACTCGTCCAGCTTTTTCGGCACCAACGTCGGGTGAAAAAGCTTCCAATCGTTGTGATCCAGTGCATATTTGCGTCCACTTCTCGTCACAATGAGCGTCCCGTCCAAGTCAAAGCCCGCAATCTTGCACGTTCTCGTAGCTCCTCCGGTCTGCTCCACGTTCCCCCGTGCGTCCAAGACATGCAGCGATCCTGATACCGTCTCCCATGGTCGAAATACCGGTTTCTCTACCTCCAAGTTCTTTTCATCTTGACGATTACAGACGCCACGAGCCTTCAATTCGACGCCGTAAGTCTTCTGCCTCTTCTCGGGTCGAATCTCTCTCCTGCCAACGTCTTGTTCGTCCCGCTTCTGTCCTGCAACCAACACTGTATCAGCTTCGCCTTTCTCTGTCTCTTTGTCGCCAATTGTGACGCGCTCAAGCTGCTGGTCGCTGTGAAGCTGCTCGGTCGTTGATTGATCCATTGACGTCGATAATAAGTGAGTAGCGAGCCAGCCACGCACGAAACGTCGTTTTCGACATGCAGTGTTTTTGACATTTCGTTTCTATAAGCTTGAAATCGTGTGTCCTTAGAAACGGTCAGACGCGATATACTGATGAGTCGGTATTTCTACCGACTCCTTCGACGTGCCGCTCTCACCGGCTGTTTATGCACCAATGACCGAGCACAGAACGAGGCATTCGAGAGAAAGCAAGTCGCAATACCGGAGTCCAACCAGATGCAAAAGTTACCTTCGTATCATAGGGATGAAGCTACAGCTAGTCACGTGTCCTCGCCTTCCATTAACGGTCGTGCGAGCGCGTTCGACGGGCTGTGCGAGAGGTAAGTGGTACCACGGCAGGCGTCGTTGCTGCGGTAAGAGCAGCAAGCATCTAGCATGGTCTGACTTCAAGGGAACAAGTGCAATGCTATTGTAAAGCAGCATGCGAGAACTATTTCGACGGCGCCGCCGATCGATTAACATACAATCATCGGACATGATCATACATTGAGTTTGTCGGTCAGGGTTCAGCAACTACGGACATCCAGAAGTGTTATCTGTTCAATATACACGAAGTCGTGAATCTCCAATGTTCACATGTCTGCTTTGATTGGGATGATGACACGGAGTGCTACGAGCTGCGGCTTCAGTTTAGTAACATGAAATAGATCGCTTTTTGGGTTTCGGTTGGAAGGGTGTCAGGCACTGCAGTCGCATTTGTGACAAATGGCAGTACCACCTATGGATTTTACTCTCCTTCCAGGTCAAATGTCTCCGCTGCAACCTTGTCGTCGTAACAAACATCGCCAGTTTAGCGTCGCTATGAACCGCGCCTAAGATCGCTGCCCTTTCACCGGACATCCTGTGCAATGATAGTATTTACGCAATGTCAATTTTACTCGCGGCACCTGATGACTCACACTGTTCAGTCACAGGACCATAAATAGCGTGGTTCACATTAATTTTCGTGCTGAAGTGGTGCTGGTATTGCGACTTTTGCATCTCGTTTGCGACTCCGGTATTGCGACTTTTGCATCTGGTTGGACTCCGGTATTGCGACTTGCTCTAAGAGAGACCGTGGGTGACTGGCCCTCGCATTGATACCAAGCAACAGCTGATTGGTGGATGATAGTGACACCATCCTAGTTTATCCAGATAAAAGCGTCGATGGATGAAGAGGCGGACCAGAAACGAGTGGCCTGACAAGTCGTAAACGAGCCAGTTGCATTGACGCACGCCAGCTGTTCCACGCGGTTACGCTCCCTGTCGAGCTGCCCCCGTCCTTATTGCACTGACCGAGCGGCCCGAGAGCTCTTTATCTCGTTGTTTTTCCGTCACGTGACGCCAAGCGAGCGTCTAACTTCTCGGCGCGGTCCAGTCGAACCGTCAAGAAAGCGCATCTGACCCATTTTCACGTTGCAGTCGATCCCTCGCCTGCTCGTGTCGCGCGCACTTTCTCTGCGCATCTCTTGGTTACACCCTTGGTCCGCCTGTTTTTGCTCGCCCTCTCGTGCGCGTTCGTAGACGCCTTTTTCCATCCGCGTTTAGCTCCCGTCGTCATTTGTTCGCTCCTCCTCCTCCACCTCCTGCTATTGCTACTGCTGGAGCGAGTTACTCCCCGACGACAGCGACGAGTGTTTACAGCACTCGCTAGTCGGTAGCTCACGAGCGCAAGCAGAGACCGGACGATCTCTTGACGGACGAGAGGGCGACGAGCGAGGAGAGAGAAGAAGAAGAGGGAGACAGCACGGCGCAAGGCAATTGACGACGGTTTCTACCAGCAGCGACACAAGCACCGCTCGGACGCGTGAAGAAGGCAGAGGAGGAGACGCATGCCCCAACCGCAGGCGCCGCCGCCGCGGCCCGCTGGCCGTCGTGGCAATAGCGCGGTGGCCGAGTTCACGCCCAAGCGCTGGCAGGTTGAGGACCACTGCGGGATTTGCAGCTTGGAGTTTTCGCTGTTAAACACTCGACACCATTGTCGTGCGTGCGGTCTCTCGGTATGTGGGAAGCACTCGAAGAGCAAGGCGATTGTACCCACGTCGCTGTCCAAAGTGCCGCAGCGAGTGTGTGACAAGTGTTACCCGCGGTGCCACGCCATTGCAATGGGTCTCATGCCTCCGTCTGTGCGCCGAGACCAGCCAGACGACAAATTACGTCGCCACGTGTCAGAGGCGCAGAATGACCAAGGGCCGAATGGTCCTCGTGCAAAGCAGAACAGGATAGTGGAAGGAGCTCGACGAGATAATAGGACGTGGAACGGAGACGACGACTTTCGTGAACAGCAACAGGTTTTGCAGCAGTATGGCGACGACCAACGCGCGAGACTTTTAGCGCGTGACCGTCACGGAAAGCATCCTCGAGCACGATCTCCGCAAGCTGCGGGGTCTCCGCACGTAAGGGATCCTCGTGAGGTAGTTTCGATGCGTGGAAATCCGACACACGACCGACTTGCGCGTGATAGAGCTTTACACCCCAGAGACCTCTTTAACGATAATGATCGACGCCGGAATAATGGTCCGCGTGAAAACGCGGGACGGAGTGGAGACATTCGTGGAAGAGATTTGCGTGAAAGAGACCCGCGTTTGCGAGAACGAGACCCGCGTCTGCAAGAAAGAGATCCACGTCTGCGAGAAAGAGATCCACATGTGCGAGAGAGAGAACCGCGGTTGCAAGAAAGAGAACCACGTTTGCGAGAAAACGATCTGCGTGAGAGAGAGCCACGTCTGCGAGACAAAGACTTACGCGAGAGAGATCCGCGTCTGCGAGAAAAAGACTTGCGTGAGAGAGATCCGCGTCTACGAGAAAAAGACTTGCGCGAGAGAGATCCGCGTTTGCGAGGAAAAGACTTGCGCGAGAGAGATCCACGTCTACGAGAAAAAGATCTGCGCGACAGAGATCAGCACAAGCATGATTCTCGAGACCGCGACCCGCGCAAGGTTGAGCTTCGTAGCAAGGAATTGCAGGGAAGAGACTTGCGTGAAAGAGAGCGACGTGAAAGAGATGTACGAGCAAGGGACCCCCGTGAGAGGGAACGCAAGGATAGGGCGCTGCATCCACGAGACTTATTTGATGACACTCCAAGTAAACGAGGTTCGCGTGATCATCATGTAGGAAAAGAGCGGCGTCGTGTTGTCAACACTTTGCCAAGCGGGAAGCGCAAGCACGATCCGAAGGAAGTTCCAATTCCCAATTTTTTCAAGCAAGCCAGTGGCAAGCACGGCACGCAGATTTCGTCGTCGGGCCGCACGACGTCGTCAACACTGAGCAATGTAGGCGCAGGTATGAGCGCGCACGAAGATGTTAATGCACAAGTTCCGGTACCGAAAGCAAAGCCGAAGCGGCCGCCATCTCGCAAGGAGAAGGAACTACAAAGTGCGTTTGCGGATTCGACTTTCTCCATTTTCAGTCTTGCCGGATCCGATCACTCCGACGTAGAATCCGAGGCTCCTGATCATGCAGGGAAGAAGGTTGCAGCACGAAAGTTTGGAAAGAGCCGAAGCGACAGCGTTAGCTGGGAGTCAAAGGAGAAGAAGGAGCATTTGGACTTTAGTGCCTCCTCCAGCAGTTTAAAAGGCTTTGGTGTGTCAGAAATCACGCAGAAGTATCTAGCTCCAAAGCCGCCAAAAGCGGTACCGCATAAATCGAGCTGGAAGTCGCCGATTGAGGAGGATTGCGAAAGCAAAGAATCGAGTGTAGAACCAAGGAGGCACAAAGAGGATCCGAGAGGCTACAAAACCGAGAAAAAAGGCAATGCATTACCACCGAGACCGCGCAAGCACGGCGATGGGGCTCGTGGTGAAGCACATATTGCAGGTTCGTTACACCAACGTGGCAAACCTGTTGATGGCAAAATCTGTAAAAGCAGTGAGATTTCCAAACGATCATCAGCTGAACTGAATCCCACGCCAATGCAGACATTGCCTAGCTCGGAATGTAGTGAATTTGAGGCAACGCAGCTTTCGTTGAGCAACGACAAATGCGCTGATGGTGACGAGAAGAATGATGAGGTGCTTTCAGAGCTGCTCGCCACATCTGAGGATGGAAAAGAGGACCTGATTGCTGAGCTTCGAGCGAAGAAGGCAGTTATCGCTGGTATTGACCCTGCCAGTCTGGACGCAAAAGAAAAGGCGCCTACGACTGCCACCTACGAGTTGACTACGAGAGACACGGAGATTATGCAGCAGATTTCAGAGCAGGAAGCAGTGGTTCTTCAGCACCAGAAGGATCTGCCGGCTTTGCTGGATATGTATGTCGAGGCCACTAGGCGCGCCAAAAAAGCACAGAGGGAATTGCAGAAGGCAAGAGTGCGCGCGAGTCACTGCAAGAAAGCGCATGCTGCAGTAGCGCGAGCCATTCGTTCCGGGAGATTGTACATGAAGCAAAAGGAGTACATGGCAGCTATCCTAGAGCTCTCGCGTGCCATTGGAATCGAGCGCTCGAATGCGACACTGTGGTTCATGATGGCCGAGTGTCGTCTAATGGTGAGCCAGCCTATTGCTGCGGAGGAGGCGTGCATGACAAGTCTGAATTTACAGCCTACAGGCGCAGCTGTGGCGATGTTGGGACGTATCATGCATGAACGGGGGCGGCATGACGAGGCAATTGAGTGTTATTTATCAGCTTTGGGGCGAAATGATGAGAGCGAGGACGAAGCAGAGGAGGACGAGTACCAATGAGGTCAGTTTCATGCGCGTGCATTTCGCGCGATCAGTGCCCAAAAGAGACACAAAGCTGTGACGATAATATTAAGAGTTGATAATTTGATCAGCGTTCGAGTTGATGTCTGCACTGCGGTGCCACATCTTGATGCACATCAGAGAGCTCAGCAACGATATGACGGAGAGGGTTCAGTACAACTATAACACTGCAGTGCATATCGAAGTTGTCTCGTAGAGCTCATCGTTTTCTCGAGCTGCAAACCCTTTTGTTCCACCGTCGGAGTCGAGTCGGATGGGGAAGTGCAGTCACACTATCACCCATTCCTGATCATGTTGCACTATCCAGAGGTACTTTGTTGAACCGATTGCAAAAAAGATGTGGCCTAGTAGCGTATGTCACATAGCAGATCCGTCAACTTTCATGATGACACTGTGTGGCTAGAACGTGGGACCGCACTTAATCGACATAAAAATCGTCTCAGGCAAGGTTCGTAGTGGTTGCGAACTTCCCAGACGCTTTTCCCCCCTGCAACCTTCAGCTTTCAGTTGCATATCACAAATCACGACCCATTTTTTGCGATAGCATCCACAATCACAAAAACACAAACTCCATTCCGCAATTATGCCACGCCGAGCGGTCGAGAAGTCGAAGTCGTCGTCGGCTGCCAGCGAGAAACCAAAGCAAGGGCGAGCGTCCAAGAAGAGCGATGGTCGACCTGCGGGTAGAAAGAAGCGTCGACGCAAGAGCTCGTGGGACTACGAGGACGACGATGGCGACGTGGCGTTCGAAGCTGAAGAGTCCGGTAGCGAGTCGGAGGAGAAGCGCGCACAGCTGCAGAAGAAGCGGTCACGGGCGCAGAAGACTCAAGTGAATAAGAAGACGAAGACGGTTGGTTCCGTATCGAAGAAGAAGGTGTTGCAGGACGATAAGGAGGGGCTGGAGGACCAGGACGGAAGTCAGGAGGAGCAGGAGCGCGTTCTATTGGAGGAAAAGAGAAGACGGAGGAAGCAGCAGTACGAACAAGAGAGTGGGCAGATGCTGAAGGAAGTGCGTGACTTGGCGCTGCATGAGAAGAAGACGCAGGAGAAGCTCATTGGGAAGCTGAAGAGAGATATCACGACTTTGTCCAAGCAGGCGGAAGAGGAGCGCAAGAAGCACAAGAAGGAGGTGGACAAGCTTGTGGCTGACAAGATGCGTGAGTATGACGCTAATCAAAGGACGAAAGACGACGGAGATGTGGAGAAGATAGCGCTGCGGGAACACATTCGAGAGCTCGAGTCTCAGTTTGCATCATTCAAGCGGAGCACGGGACCGGATGATGTGGTGACTGTGAACGCTGCTGCTGTGTCAGCTGCCTCGGGTACGTTTCGCGGTATATCTGATGGTGAAAGGGTAGCGACTGAGATTATTTTTATGTGCTCTTTTTGGATCATACAGTCGTGCAGAACAGCGAAGCGAGTATACAACTTGACCAGGCAAACAAGGTACAGTATACGCTGCGGCGGGGTCCTCTTGTGCTCGGTTTGCTCATATAGTGTTGCTTGCTGCTCGTGGTACCGAACACAGCTCCTAAAGATGTACCGCCTGGTGACTAGTATGGACATCCGCCTGATTCAATCGACCGACGACGACGAACAAGACGGCGACGACTGCACTGAAATTGCGTGCACAATTACTGATTCAGCGACTGGGAACCAGTTTGAATTCGAGCTGGCGATTCCTGCCACCACCTCGAGCGAAATCGAGTACCTCCCGAGCGAAAAGCCGCCGACGGGCATTAAAGTGCCGTCATATTTACGAGTACGTCATCATCATTTATCACTTATTCGAGGTGAGCTAATGTGAAGTTTGTGTTTTGCAGGAGGAGCTGAGCTTCAGCAGATCCGAAATGACCAAATTCAGTCGGTCAGTTCTTGACATCGTCATTAGGAAGAAAAAGAGTTGAGCGCTGCTATCCGTAAGTACGCTACTACTAGCAATGGGTCGATCATCAACGATAGGACGGATGATACAGCGTGCCTAACTCACTGTATTCGAACGTTATGTCGATAGCTTCAGTTTCATTCCAGCTCACCTGACAGCAGGTGCCGCCAACGTCTACTCTTCCGTAGGTATAACCTTGAACTCCGATCCTTTCTCAGTGAGCTGTAGTATCTCTGCTGAAGCTGTTTCCACAGCAGTCTCGTCTAATCCATCCGACTTTGCAGCGTCTTTGTCGGATCCGTTCGATTTCGCAACATTATCGTTTGATCCATTGGATTCCGCATCAGCCTTGGAAGAGATGGCGCGGAATTGCTTGTATTCAGCCTTCGAAAGCAGCGATTCTTGAATCTCTGCGACTTCTACCTTCTTGGGCTGAATGATGATAAGGTACCCGTCCGATTGATGCTGCAACAACGTGAACGAAGCGAATTAGTGGTGGCCATCACACGATGATTCCGAAAAGCCAGCTGGGTGTCTCGTACCTTTGCCGTCAACAATCCTGGCTCCTTCAATAGGCGACTATTGAACTCGATCAACGAGCCTCGAATGCAACTACGCAGCGTGAACTCGCGGTTGCTCTTGCACTTGAGGACGCAAACGACCGTGTCGGGCAGCATGAAACAGCCGCCTTTTTTCTTCTTGCCTGTCACGTGGTTTTCCACCACATTTCGAGGAAACTCGACGCTCGCCAGCTCTTCCTGCATCACTGGATGGGACTCCGCCACCCCCACCACACACAGACGATTCGAGTGCATGTGCACATACTGGTCTTCCATCGGTTTGCCCATCGTGTCGCACGAGAACATCTCCGTGTAGTAGCGCTCAATCTGCCAGCAAGTACAGAAGACCCTCAGTCAGTCTCCACCAGTCGATCCATATCCATCGATCATACACCCAAGCCTTCCACAGCTAGACTGGTTCAAGCACACCGCACCATCGTGCCTCGACGCTTGGAAGTGACAGCGCCTTCATCTCCTGTCTGGAATTGCTCCTCAACACGATCATCTGCTTGCTCCCGGATGAGTCTCCGCTGCGCCGCGACCGAGTGCGGGTCATTGTCATTCACCTCCACTCTTTTACACACGCAGACAGAAGCGCATTAACACACCAGAAGAGAGAGAGAGAGATGAGAAGCAAGGCTTGAATACTATTGCCACGTACCGTCCGTGAGCGAATTTGCAGTCGGAAAACGGACAGCCACCGGGTTTGTCAAAGTGCTTGCACAGAGCGCTCTTCCGCAGTCGCTCGCGTCTCTCGACCCGTCGCTTCTTTAGCACTGGAGCAGGAGACAACGAGGACGACGACAGGGGTGCCGTCTCAACGTGGTTTGCTGTTGCTAGAAGCGCAGACGGCGCTACGGGATCTGCTGGTTGAGATGTCGCCATGTGCTGTGTCAGTCTCTTTTGTGGACCACCCATTGCCTCGATAACCTGAAGTGCACGTCAACTTGCAGTCTCTCTCTATTGCTGATACTGCATTGTCATTCTTCACTATAACTGTCGATTAGGGTCAATGGACATATTGAAGTGCTGCGGTTCTGGCATAGCTCCTGCAGAGCTCGTCGCTGTTTCATCCGACTAGGGGATCTCGCGGAAGGGCGACCAATCGCGGTAGCAAGAGTCAAACACCTGCTCAATGCACTCGTCCGCCTGGACAGCAACAGTCACAGCATCTCAATACAGACAGAGCAAGTGGGGACAAGAAGAAACACAATAAGAGAAACGCGTACTCGGCCCTTGCACGCTTCGTTCTGCTCGATGGACAGCTTGGCTCGTCTTCGCGTGCAGATCTGCCGTCACGAACAGCACACAATTAACCACCACACGACGCAACAACGAGAACGATAAACCGTCGCCCTGCTTGCAAAGTCGAGACGCTTGTCGTACCTGATGCTGCTTGCTGACGTTGAAATTCTTGCGGAAGAACTCGTACTTCCAATTGCAATCGCCGCTGAGCGCAGCAGCTCGAACCTCGCTACAAGCGTGATGCTCGCACTTGTTCCAGTCAATCTTGTTGCGGCAGTGGTCGAACGCGTGGATCAACTCGTGCGCCATGGTGCGGTCCATCCACTCCTGGTCCGGGATGTGGTTCTGGCACAACACGACCTGCACCAACAAGCCAATCCCACCCACAGCAACCAATAGCACAGCCGTCAGTCAGGCGACCATCAACTCAGCTGTTGTATCTCCTCGCACTACCGAAAGCATCCACTCACTCCCGGTTTGCCCTCGTCGTCCAGGTGGAATCCTCCATTGATATCGCTCTCGCAATGGATACTAGAGAAGAACCCTGGCTCGATTTTGCAACCTCCTTTTTCAATGGCGTTGACTAGGAACTTCACGCGCGAACCTGCAGCCGGCAAAGCAATAGCGGAACCAAGTCAGACGATCGGACCCGTGCTTGTCTTTGTCTATCCCATCTATTTACTCACACGTAGCCATTGACTTCTCACTCATGGCCTCGCATTGCTGACGGCGTTCCTCCTCCTCGCTGAGGTGCTGAGTCGCGCTCTTGAAGCTCTTCTTGAGTGCCTCCATTGATAATTGAATGACACGCTTCGGCTTGATCGACTTCTTACAAATGATACCCTTGAGAAACCGATAAGCTGATAAACTAACATGTGACCACAAAACAATCACTGCTAAACCTTCTGCTACTAGTAACCTATGTGATTACATAGCAAACTACAATACGTAAGGACCACAAAACGTGACGTCGCCCAACTCGGCATCTGGAGGAAGCTTGCAAGAATCGACGGATCGTTACGCAACGTAAAGGCCCGTAGTTTGGCAATGCAACGCAATCAATTCTAAACGATGCAATGTGACGCCATACACGCTGCTAATAGCAGGAAGCTGCACTGCCAAAAATCACCACGTCGTCTGACCCGCACAAGTGCACAACCACGCTCTATTCCAGTTCCACGACTGCACCCACAGCCTTAAGCTTCTCCACGAGTTCGTCGGCCTCTTCCTTCTTTACATCCTTCTTTACTGTACTCGGGGCGCCCTCGACAAGCTCTTTCGCCTCCTTCAGACCCAAACCCGTGATAGCACGCACTTCCTTGATAACCTTAATCTTGCTCTTCGCGTCGAAACTGGCCAGCTTCACATCGAACGCAGTCTTCTCCTCCTTGGCCTCCTCTACAGCAGGCGCCGCACTACCAGAAGCGCCGCCACCCATGCCAACCTGGAATGCAGACTCGGCGATACCGAACTTGGTCTATGAAGAATTGACCCAAACAGCAGCAAAGAAACTCGAATGATCAGCACCACAACAAGTGTCACAATAGCAACAGACCTCTGCTTTGAATACAAACGTACTTGGATAGCGTGAGAGAGCTCTGCAATCTCAATCATATTAAGCTCCAGGATCTGATCCAGCACGGTCTGCACCTTGGGAGTGAGCGCCATCTCCTCCTCGGCATTTGTCGGTGCTTTAGCCACATTATCTGTCGAAAAAAAGGCCGCCTGACTTAGACGCACACGATGTGCGCATGTTGTGCGGCGTGCGGTCGCACTACGCGCCACACGAGAGACACGCGAGAGCATAATGCTTAGGGAATCCGTCGGTGGGAATCGAATCACGAGCAGCTATGGGCAGCGCTGGGCCACGAACCATTGGCGCTGGTATTTGATCCAATCAGAAAGCAGCTACCATCTCGCCGCAGTCTGTACTGGTTGCAACTCCTCTTGACATATTATCAACCAATCAGAGCAATGCTTGTCAGACAGCTACGTGGCCGTCTGGCAAAGAGAGAGCTTCGAATCCAAGCACGAACGATGACGCGCGTTCTTCTGCTCGTGGCAGCGCTCGCGACGGCTTCCGCCCGCAGCGAAGTCATCAACCAGTCGGTACGTCGTGTAGTTCCCTTCCGTCTCTCCTCTTTGTGCTGATGCTATTGGTTCCCCTGTCTCTAGGCCAAGCGCACGCTTGACTTGACCAAGCACGTCGTACACGAATACACTGAGTTCCAGTTCTCCGATACTGACGCAGCAGTGCACGAGTACGATGTGGCGTTCCCCCACGCGCTGGAAATGCACCTGGCGAATGTCTCTGCCCGATGTGGCAAAGCTCCGTGTGAGATTGTGCCGGCTGCGTCGAAGAAGGACGCGGCCAAGACGTCTGAGGACGCGGCGCTCTACACGGTGCTGCTCAAAAGCCCGTTGCGAAGGGAGAGACGGGATTGGTGAAAGTCACGGCTTACTTCACGCGTGTGCTCACGCCGTACCCGGCGGAGATCACGCAGCAGGAGGATCAGCTCGTGCTGTTTGAGGCAAGCTACCTCGTTTCCTCCCCGTATTTGACCAAGACGCAGACGACTAAACTCAAGCTACCAAGTGGTAAAGTGGAGAGTCTGCGTGCGGAGGAGCCCGTGTCGAGGAAGGGATCCATGTTCACGCTTGGTCCGTACTCGAACATTGAGGCGTTTGCTGCTAGTGTGGAGACTGCGCCATTGAGCGTGCACTACAAGAACCACGCACCTTTCTTGACGATTACGAAGCTTACGCGTGAAATTGAGGTGTCCATGTGGGGTCGTGTGTCGTTTGAAGAGGTCTATGACATGGAGCACACCGGTGCTAAGCTCAAAGGCGGTTTCTCCCGGTTCGACTACGTACAGCTTCAGCAGCACAGCGCTTCGTTCCATGACATGCATGCTCAATTGCCAAAGGACGCGGTGAATGTATACTACCGTGATCAGATTGGTAACATCTCGACGTCGAGTCTGCGTCCGGCTGGTCGCACGGGCTCGTACCGGGACTTTTTGTTCCAGCCGCGCTTTCCGCTGTTCGGTGGCTGGAAGAATCAATGGTATCTCGGCTACTCTATCCCCACGCACTTGGTACTGAGTCACGTCGGTGACAAGTTCAAGCTGGTGGTGGACTTTTCAACGTCTCTTCAGGGCGCCTCCGTGGACGACTTGACGGTGAAAGTGATCCTGCCCGAAGGTGCCACCAACGTGCAGATCAATGTGCCGTTCAGTGTGGATCGCACGAGCGAGACCACGCGACAGACGTATCTGGACACTCCCGCGATAGGCCGACCTGTGTTGATTCTGGACAAGAAGAACGTTGTGGCCGCCCACAATGTGCCCTTCGAGGTGACGTTCGATTTCCCGCAGTACTTCATGATGCACGAGCCGCTACTGCTGGTCTCTGCATTCCTTGTCTTCTTTCTCGTTTGCATGCTGCTCTTCCGACTGGACTTCAGCATTGCCAAGAAGCCTGTGCAGAAGAAGCCGAAGACGGAATAAGCCACCGAGCTTGAAGACGAAACGTTGATGAAGCCATTTGTGCAGGTAGCGTCGCGCGTGCTACTAGAAAATGAGCTTACATGCTTAGCTGTTTGGTGATTGCGAACGAAGACGTAAAGTGTGCTAGAAAATAAAGTCGTGTGCTTTGTTTGTCTACAATCGTGTTTGATTGAGTCAGCCTCACAGTGGAAAAGGTCAATGACACAAATGCCATGTAGAGTTCGCAGTAGAGTAGTTCTTCATTGCGTTACGATTCACCTAGCTAGCCACACGACTGCGGATGCCTCAGTACTCCACAGGTTCCCCAAAGTGCACCTGCTATCTAGCTGAGCAAAGCAAAAGCTTCGGAAACGACTTAAGCACGGTTCTGGCGAGCCAAAGGACCCATCCATTTGGCCTTCTCCTCCGCCGTCTGGAAACGACCGTGGCCGAACTTTGATGACGTGTCGATAAACTTGAGACTGATCTCCTCAAGAGCCGAGCGCTTGGTGTGCACCAGGAGCGACTTGCGGAGAGTCAGCGCACGCTTCTTCGTACCAACGATCTGGCCCTTGATCATGAGCCAGTCCTCGTTGATCACACCGTAGTGCGGGAAACCACCCAGCGGGGTAATATCCTTCTCCGTCAGGTCTTGCTCCGTCATGCAAGACTTCTTGTCGCCAGCAGCACCAATGCGGTAGATCTTCTTGTTAATCTCCGTGCGGTGGTGGTAACCATGCTGACCAGCACGCGGCACCGTAAAGCGCACGCGCGACGGGTGCCAGGCACCAATACAGGCGACCTTACGCAGACCACGGTGAGTCTTACGCGGTAGACGAGTGACACCCCAACGGGTAATCACACCTTCAACACCGTGACCCTTGGTGACACCAATGACGTCAATCATTTCGTCCTTGGCAAACACAGCCGTAACAGGCACCTGCTTCTCGAAAAGCGACTTGGCAAAGTCCACCTTGTCAGCCACCGAGCCACCGTTCACCTGCACCTCCAGAAGGTGAGCCTTCTTCTGGCGGAGTTTCACCTTGCGGACCTGCGTGTGAGCAAGCACGCGCACCACCTGGCAGTACTTCTTGATACGGTTTAGCTCGTTCTCAATGTCGGCAGGAGCCGTCTGGTACTTCTTGGCGTACTTCGTGAATGCTTTGCGCTTCGACTTGTACCAGTTCTTGTAGAAACGACGCTTCACTTCTTCGCTCAAGTGCTCGGCAAACACCGTCGTGAGAGTACGAAGGCCACGCGGGGTCTCGAGGTAGCCGACGACGCCGATAACAACCATAGGAGGCGTCTCAACGATCGACACAGGCTCAACGATCTCCTTCTTGTGCACCTTCGAGCCAGGTCGGTCTACCTCTCGCACAATGTGCGTCATACCAGCCTTGAACCCCATGAAGGCCGTCAGATGTGGCGCCTTGGACGCGTCATCGCGCGGGAACTTACGAACGCGACCGCGGTGGTGTTTCGTACGCTTCTTAGGAAGGAAGCCCAAGTGGCCGTGACGCGGAGCTTCAAACTTACGGTGACCCATGTCTACTACGAGAGCTCCTGCAAAACTCAAAGTGCTGCGGAAGTAGCTGCTCGCGAGTCGCACAGGATCCGCTCCAGAAGCGCCGCCAGCCAATCACTAAATCGGAAGTAAACGGAGACGCAACAAAAAAAACGCTGCGGAAAAGCAGTTTTTTCGAACAGCCTGTAGCGAGATAAAGAAAGCCGAATGGAGCTCCTAAGTACGCTATCGAACGCCTCTAAAGTTCGCCAGCAACATCGTTTCCTTTTACCACCTGGGGTCTACCTGCCTACGTTGCCCATCAGACAGGATCCCTCCACCAAGTGTAGAATCGGTATCCATTTCAACAAGTTGCCGTCCTCGCTGTTGTCTCCGCTCCCGAGTATGCACATCAAGCAGGTGATCGTGTGCGGCTTCCGCAGCTACAAGGACCAGGTGACGGTCGAGCCTTTCAGCATGCAGCACAACGTCGTGATTGGACGGAATGGCACGGGCAAGTCCAATTTCTTTGACGCCATTCGCTTTGGCTTGCTCACGTCGCGCTTCGCCAACCTCCGTCCGGACGAGCGCCTGGCGCTTCTGCACGAGGGTTCGGGCAAGCACGTCATGTCTGCGTACGTGGAAATCGTGTTCGACAATCGAGACGGTCGTCTGCCTGTGGACGAAGCCGAAGTGGCTCTGAGACGCACGATCGGCGTGAAGAAGGACGAGTTCTTCTTGAACCGCAAGCACATTACGAAGAGTGACGTGGTCCACTTGCTGGAGAGCGCCGGATTCTCTCGGTCGAATCCCTATTACATTGTGCAGCAGGGCAAGGTGAACGCCCTTGCGGTCATGCGGGAACGGGAGCGACTTGAGCTGCTCAAGGAAGTGGCGGGCACGAAAGTGTACGAGGACCAGCGGCTCAAGTCGCTCAAGATCTTGCAGGAGACGCAGACGCAGCGTGAGAAAATCCAAGAGGTGGTCTCGTATATTGAAGAGCGATTGTCCGAGCTGGACGAGGAGAAGGAAGAGCTCAAGGAGTACCAGCAGCTGGACCGAGAGCAACGTGCGCTTGAGTACACGATGCATGAAAAAGAGCTGCAGAACGTGCGTGCGGAGATTGAGGTGCTCGACAGCGAGAGACAGAAAGAGATTGCGCTGTCCACGGAGCTGCACGAGAAGCTCCTGCATGTTCGAGCTGAGATCAGTCGGACGGAAAGTGACTGTCGCACGAAAGAGCAGGAGCTTGCACAGCTTGGGAGTGAACGGGATCAAAGGGATGCCGAACGCACAGAACTGATGAAAGCAAAATGCAAGCTGGAGATGGAGGTGAACGATCTCAAAGAGCAGATTAACACTGACGGCGTGCGGCGATGCGCTGCATCTAAGGAAGCTGAAGTCATCAAACGCAAGATTCAAGCGAAACAAGCACAGCTCAATACTGAAGTTCTACCCGCACTTCAACAAGCAGAGATAGCGCATGACCAAGTCGCACGAAAACTTGAAGAGTGCAGAATACAGTCCGAGCATTTAATCGCCAAACAGAGTCGAAAGAGTCGGTTTCAAGATCAGCAACAGCGCGATGACTACCTTCAGCGTGAGATCGGCGATATTGAGGGCTTAGTACGCAGAAAAAAGTCAGACGTTGCGTCATTACGAAGCTCCATTGAGGGCTTGGCGCAGTCAATCGAGGGATCTGAGAGAACACTCGGACAACATACAGAGGAGCTACATGAGTATCGTCGTCGGGTGGACACCGTCGGGGCAGAAATGCTCCGTCTGAAAGGGCAACGCAATGCTTTGAATGAAGAACGCAAGGAAAAGTGGCGTGAGGAAAGTCGGATATCGTATCGCGAACGCGAACTCGAGAAGAAGTTGAGGGATGGTGAAGCTGCGTTGCAGAGTACAATGGCGTACGGTGTTCGGCGTGGTCTGCAGGCAGTGCGGGAGATGCAAGATCGTATTCGAGGAATTTACGGACCTTTGATCGACCTTGTGAAGCCTGTCGAAGAACGTTACTGTATTGCTGCAGATGAGGCTGCTGGAGGCGCTCTTTTCCACGTCGTTGTGGATACAGATGACACCGCTGCGCGAATCATGCAAGAACTGAACAAGAAGAATCTGGGTCGGCTAACTTTTCTACCTCTCAACCGCTTAAAAGTGAAGGATCATTTCGACTACCCCCGTAATGATGACGTTGTTGCATTGATCGAGAAGCTGGAATACCCAGCAGAGGTTCGCAAGGGTGTTATGGCTGCTTTCGGAAAGAAGTTGCTATGTCGAGACCTGGAAGCGTGCGGTCGGTATGCGGAGCAGACAAACATGGACTGCTTGACCCTGGACGGTGATATGGTCCACCGCCGTGGTGCCCTGAACGGTGGCTTCAAGGATCCGCGACGATCTCGAACCCGAGCGATGATGGAAGTGAAGCAGGCACAAGTGGATCTTGAAAGCGTGGCGGAAAGAGCTCGAAGGGTGAAAGCAGAGGCGCAGCAAGCAGACCAGCGGGTTACTGGTGTGATAAGTGAGATCCAAAAGCTAGAGGCGGAAAAGCACCGTGCTGTGTCCGCCCACGAGCGCTTGTGCAACAAGATATCTCAGCGCAAGACCCAAATTCAAACTCAGAAAGAAAATCTTGTGCAGAGAGAGCGAAGCCGGGAGTTGCAAGAGCGAGAAATGGAAGGTCTGAATTCAATGATCAAGTCGCTCCGCGCCGAGCTTCTTGCCCCGATGCAAGATGCTTTGACAGCTGAAGAGCAACAATTGCTGCACTCGTTGTTGGCCAAGATCTCATCGCTCGAGACAGAAGAGCGGGAACAAAGACAGCGTGTGGATGACATCCGCTCTCAGAAAGAAGGCATAAAGACGGTTTTGGAAGAGAACTTGATGAGGCGTGAAACGGAGCTGGCAAAACAGCTTGGTGAAGGAATTGAAGAGCTGGCAGCCAGTGAGCGAGAAGAACAAGTGAAGGACAAGGAGATTGACTTGATTGACGCATCTCGGTTAGTAGATGACAACACATCGTCGCTGAAAGACCTCGAGAGGAAGATAGAAACGTTGCAGCAGGAAATCACGTACGGAAAAGTGCAGGTGGATGCGCTGCGCAAAGAGGACGGCTTGCTGAGTGACCACATCCAGCAGGAGTCCCAGAAAACTGAGAAAGTTTTGAACAGGCGCCGTCGGCTGCTAAAAAGGCGTGACGATGCGACCCGAGATATCCAGGAGCTAGGAACTTTGCCGACTGCTGAGCTTGAGAAGTTTAAAGTGCTACCATATGAGGACGTGATCAAACAGTTTAAGCGCCGAACCGAGAAGCTGAAGAAGTACAGCCACGTGAACAAAAAGGCTTTGGACCAGTTCATGAGCTTCAACGAGCAACGTGCGGCCTTGCTGGAGAGAAAGAAGGAGATTGACGAGGCGTACGATTCGATCAAAGACTTGATCGATGTCTTGGACAAGCGAAAAGATGAAGCCATATTTCGCACCTTTAAAGGAGTGGCCGGCTTTTTCTCGGAAGTGTTTCGAGAGCTGGTGCCGACGGGAGAAGGCAAGATGATTCTAGTCGGTGCGGATACTAGCCAGATCGATCAAGTTGACGATGGTGATGCGGCACAGGAATCGAACGTTGACACGTACTCTGGCGTTCAGGTCAAAGTAAACTTCCGTGGCGAGGGAGATTCTTACTTGATGCAGCAGCTTTCTGGTGGTCAAAAGGCGTTGGTGGCTCTCGCCTTTATTTTTGCAATTCAGCGGGTCGACCCAGCTCCATTCTACTTGTTTGATGAGATTGACCAGGCGTTAGACTCCACTCACCGAGCTGCAGTTGCAGCCTTGATTCACCGCCAGGCACACTCGAAGGACAACCCGGCTCAGGTGCGTCTGTTATTTGCTATTGTACTGGTTATTTATCTATGCTGATCATTGTGAACGCTGTCTATAGTTCATCACGTCGACATTTCGCCCTGAGCTGGTGAACATCGCTGACTCATTCTATGGTATCGGCTACCAGAACAAAATCAGCAATGTTTACTCGATGACGAAGGAGGAGTCTCTCGGTTTTATCTCGAACATCATGGCTGAGGAAGAAGGCGTGGCGGGGCCGCAATCATGAACTCACTCTTCCACTACACACGTAGTTCACTTTATTCGACGACAGCAGTATTAAGTCAATGGAACCAGCAACTTTTACACAAGTGTGGAGGATCTATTTTGTGAGGTATCCTGTGCCGATCGTGCTCGCTTGCCAGACTTACGAAGGCCCAGTGCGTCACGCTCCTCGACTTGTTTTGACCTGAAGGCACGCTTCAGACTCTCGAGCTTCTCCGCTGTCACGGGCCACTTGTTGCATGCCTTCGCGTTTTGCCAGAAAAAGACACTCGTGTCGAACGATGCAATTCGCCAACGGGTCTTTCGAATCTGCTGCTTACCCTCGCAGTAGCCGTGCTGTTTTTGCGGGATAAGGACATGTGCCTGATTGAAACGACTAGCATGCAGTCCTTGCCATCCCTGCACAAAATCATCATCCGTTAGTTGCACAGGAAGGAGTATGGTCCGATACAATAGACCATATCTACCTCAGTCTCTCGCCAGGCCGGGATGATGATGATGAACGCCAAGGGTCCATCAGCGGTATTGAGTAGCGCCGTCATATGATCTGCCATGCGTTTGATGACCTTGGAGATAAAAGGCGGATTGGCTTCATAACATCTGTATTCATCATGGCCAACGGAAAAGCAGTAGTTTAGTTCCATCTGTGCAAAAGCAGGAGTATAACGGACCATTACGTACCCGGAGCGAGGTGAAAAATCACAGAAGCTGCCCACACTTCCAAACGCAAAATCCGTGTCGAGGAAAGCGCTGCAGAAACGCGAGTAGCGGCAGTTTAATGGTGAAGCGAAACACTCCATTTTGCAGTCAAAGTCGTTCAGCAGCACATCGAAGCACTCTTCGTTCAGCGCAGCCTGTCACACATACCCAAACTATCAAATGTTTGCATTGCAGCAAGTAATAACCCTCCATCATCTACCTGAAACCCTCCTCCATCCAGCGAGTCGTAGCGAAGTAGCAGGCAAAACAATGCACTTTCAAACTGACGTAGATCTTTCGGTGTCATCGTTGACCCGTCCACACCTTGTTGTAGCCTCCGTATGTACATCTCGCGCAGTTTGGCAAAGTGTGCTGCACTGGCCTTTACCGTTACATTTCCATATGTCAAGTGGTGCATCTCATGCTCCATCACTTTCACCTGCACCTTTTTCTTCTTACCGGCAACAAAGTCATGCTGGTCAAATTTGCGCAGCATGCGCTCGGATTCCCTCGTGATTTCCTTGCACTTCCTCATAGCTGCAGACTTAGTGGCGCCATACTTGCACAGCTCCTCCAAGAGACTGCTGTAGTCGCTTCCAGCATGAGGAATCAGTGGGTCGTGCTCCTTCACCGTAAGCTTTGACGTGAACTGCCATGTCTCGTAGACCGAGTTTGGCGGCTTGGCGATGCCCAGATCCTCGCTAACACGGCGAATTTTTCGACACAGAGCACGAACACTTTGCTGTCGCATAATCTCCATAGAAGGAGTGACAGAGAGCGTTTTGGCGGCTTCCCCCAGTTTCTTTAAAGCATCAGCGTCCAGCGGCATCTCTTCCAGTGGGTTCCAGATACTCGACGAGGACGAGACGGTCAAACCTCGCTCTCGCTTGTTTCCCTTGGGCTTGGATGCTGTACCTGGTGCATCTACGGGTAAGACTTTCTTGGATGCACTTGTTGTGGCGTTGCCCGTAGCCGCCGCCATGGACGCCAAGATGGCCTCCAACGGATCCGCCATTGATAGCGTCGGTTGTCTACTGACGGGGCACTAAAGTGAGTGGCAAAGAGCGGGGAGGGGGGTCGCGTAACCGTGTTTGGAACACATCGGTACATGACCGAGCCAGTGGGACCAAACGTGGCTCTTATGGAATTCGATGTCATTGTTGATGTGGAACAGTGCCTTAGAAATGGCTTGAGAGCCACAACGTGCGTTATAAAGCACGTATACGCCAATGGGCGGTGAAGAACCCACTGTTTTTTTCAGTGCATATCGTGTTTGATCGCACGACGAACTTGCTCACTTGAGTGAGTGTTTCCCTGCAACAGCGGATAGAACCACGGAGACTTCATCGCGTCTATTCGTACGTGGCACAGTCGTGTTTGACTACTTCTAGTTTTTGACGTCCTCATTTCCGAGTCATGAAACCAAGACAGTACACTCGAAAAGCTCTCGACATACGAACTGGAATCAGCTCTGAGATTACCGGGAACTGACGCCGTCCTTGTGGGTATCATTTTTGCTCATCAAAATCGAGCGAGGCATAGTGCAACGAGATACGACATAACGAGGCCATAGCAGCACCTGTCAAAGTACATACATACTCGCCTGATCGATAGAAAAGATGTAAACACGAATAAACCAGTCAAGTGAACCCAAATCTATTTCGATCGCATACATATATCAAGCATAGAGAGATGACGCGAAAGGCAAGCCTGACTACAGATTCGATCAGGGCGAGACGACGTCTGCGTCTCGATACTGAACCTCGTATTTCTCAACACGTCTGGACCACACCCCGACCCCGACCATTCCGTTGGTCCATTTCGGGATCCCCTCACGACAGCAAACATTCACTCGCCTCTGCATCCGAATGTACGCTGTCTCGTCCACAACGCGCGCCGCGCGGCAGCAGCTCCGAGCGGCAGCCTCCAAGGTGCGTCCAAGTAAAATTCAAGGGCTAGCAATCCCTTCCAACCCCCCCCCCTCGTGCTCGTACTACCAGAACGTATCTTTCTTGATGTCCTCGGTCTTCCATACTGATCTCCTTACTATGTACGGTCACCCCTCTCTTAGGCTCGCATGTCATCAAGCTGCAGTATCCCGTCCTCTGTCCCGCTGTCTGTGCTGGACCCTGAAGGAAGTCCCACGATTGACGAAACGTACGCGAAGATGGAGAAGAACCTCCACACAGTGCGCAAGACCATGAGTGACAAGCCCCTGACGCTTGCGGAGAAGATCATTTACGGCCACTTGGATGACGCGACCGTGAAAGCCACGCGTGGGGAGACGTACCTGAAGCTGCGTCCTGACCGCGTGGCCATGCAGGATGCCACGGCCCAGATGGCCGTGCTGCAGTTTATCTCGTCGGGTCTGCCGAAGACAGCGGTGCCAACGACGATCCACTGTGATCACTTGATTACGGCCGAGAAGGGCTCGGACAAGGACTTGAGCAATGCCAAGATTATCAACAAGGAGGTCTATGACTTCTTGTCGTCAGCTGGGGCCAAGTTTGGCATGGGGTTCTGGAAACCTGGTAGTGGCATCATCCACCAGATTGTCCTCGAGAACTACGCCTTTCCTGGCGGTCTCATGATTGGCACTGACTCGCACACACCGAATGCGGGTGGTCTAGGCATGTGTGCTGTTGGTGTTGGCGGTGCTGATGCGGTCGATGTCATGGCTGGGATGGCCTGGGAACTCAAGGCACCCAAGGTTATTGGCGTCAACCTTACTGGCAAGCTCTCGGGTTGGACGTCACCGAAGGACGTGATCCTCAAGGTGGCTCACATGCTGACTGTCAAAGGCGGAACTGGAGCCATTGTAGAGTACTTTGGCCCCGGTGTGGAGTCCATTTCGTGCACGGGTATGGGCACGATCTGTAACATGGGCGCTGAGATTGGTGCCACGTGCTCAACGTTCCCGTACACCGAGCGTATGGGTGACTATCTACGCTCTACAAAGCGTAGCGGCATTGCCTCGGCAGCCGAGTCGTTCCAAGCCAACCTACGAGCTGATGAGGGAGCCCACTACGATCAGATTCTTGAGATCAACCTCGATGAGCTGAAGCCGATGCTGAATGGTCCGTTTACGCCTGATCTCGGTCACGTTGCTGGTGCGGACATGAAGGTAGCTAGCGAGAAGAACGGGTGGCCGACGGAGCTGAGCGCTGGTCTAATCGGGTCGTGCACGAACTCCAGCTACGAAGACATGACCCGCTGCGCCGATTTGACGAAGCAGGCCAAGGAGGCGGGGTTGAAGTTTAAGATACCGTACTACGTAACACCCGGTTCTGAGCAAGTGCGCGCCACCATTGCTCGTGACGGCATCCTTGACACGTTCCTCGAATCCGGTGCCACTGTCCTCGCTAATGCTTGTGGTCCGTGCATTGGCCAGTGGAACCGTACTGACGTAGCTATGGGTGAGAAGAACTCGATATTCACGTCGTACAACCGCAACTTTGCCAAGCGTGCGGATGGTAACCCGGCGACGCACAGCTTCGTGACATCCCCCGAGTTGGTGACAGTTAGCTCCATTGCGGGTGTTACCACGTTTGACCCTGCGAAAGACACGATCAAGACCCCGGACGGAAAGGACTTCAAGTTTTCTGCTCCATTTGGCAAGGAGCTCCCGCCGCTCGGCTTCGATCCCGGTGAGGAGACGTTCCTGGCCCCACCTGCGAGCGGTGAGGGTCTGACGGTGAATGTTGATCCGAATAGCGAACGCCTGGCCCTGCTGTCTGCGTTTGATGAGTGGAACGGTGAGGACCTGGTGGATATGCCGGTGCTGATCAAGGCAAAGGGCAAGTGCACCACCGACCACATCAGTATGGCTGGCCCATGGCTGAAGTACCGTGGCCACCTGGACAACATTTCGAACAACATGCTGATCGGTGCTGTCAATGCGGAGACCGGTGAGACGAACAATGTAAAGAATCAGCTGACGGGCACGTTCGACAAGGTACCCGCTGTTGCTCGCCAGTACAAGGCCAGTGGCTGCAAGTGGGTCGTGATTGGTGACGAGAACTACGGCGAGGGTAGTTCTCGCGAGCACGCCGCTCTGGAACCGCGCCACCTTGGTGGCAGTGCTGTGATCGTGAAGTCGTTTGCGCGTATTCACGAGACCAACCTGAAGAAGCAAGGTATGCTGCCGCTGACGTTTGCGAACCCGGCAGATTACGACAAGATCACGGGCAACGACAAGGTGGCCATTTTGGGCTTGAAGGATTTCGCGCCAGGCAAGCCGCTAACGCTGCGTGTGACCCCTGCCTCCGGTGAAGCTCCCTTTGACATCACGGTCAACCACACGTTCAACGAGGAGCAGATTGAGTGGTTCAAGCACGGGAGTGCGTTGAACCTGATGAAGAAGAACAACGCTTGAGCGATTCACTCACATCTGGACGAGCTTGCAGGAGGAATCAATTGAAGAGAGATTACGATGCCCTCGCTAGCAGTGTGAAGTGCCGCTCTTTTGTAATATCACTAACAACGCACTGCTGGTGCATCTAGCTCGTGTCATACTAGTAAGCTGCTTGTTTTCCAGATCAACAAGACAAAGAATACCGAAAGGTGTCAAGCTCATCGTCGCAAAACCCAGTACAGTTGCTTGAAAAACTGTCTGCTTCTGAAGCGACACTTGCATATCACTATTCTCCGTGACGAAAGGGTTCCAGTTAAAGTGCATTCCCAATCGTACACATCCGAGGTCTGAACCCATCACGATATTCGAATATCGCCCATGATGGAGAACCAGGAGAGCGTCGGGAGCTACTCGCCTCTCACAGGCTTCGTCTTCATCTTCAACCTCATTGTAGGCGCTGGAGCGCTCACGATCCCTCACGCTTTCGCCAATGTAAGTCGCTCCGTTTCAACGTTACTGCATTAGTCTCCTCCTCTCACGTCTCCGAGGCTTTTACTTGGATCCGCTAGGTTGGTCTCGCTTATGGGTCCGTCGCATTGTCCGTCCTGGCTTCGGTCAGTTATGTGACGGCCACCTTTATGATCGAAGCTATTGCAGGCGTGAACGCACTGAAGAGATGCAAGGGTGAGATGGGAGCAAATGCCAACACGGATGACGATGACAAGCGGTCGCTTGAGGAGCTCAACGACAGTGATGACAACGATGTACTCACGGAGTTTGTGCCGCTAATGGTGGCCAATGAAGTAGATTTTGCATGGACTGCTGCCTTTCAGGGTCACCACATCTCAGTAACATGCTGCGTGCGTCTTCGTTGCTATGTTCTCTGGTCCTGCAGGAACACGACGCGCTCCAGAAGAACCTACGGACGAAGGCCAGTGAGCGTAAGCTCCGCTTTGATCTGTCCAAGAAGGTGCGGCATGATAAGGTGCGAGTGGTAGGAATACAGTCATGTAAGTGTTGTGTTCTGGGATTTAGGTGGAGCTGGCCGAAATGGCAGAGCTGCTGTTCAGCCACCGAGGTGTTGTGGCGTTCTACGCGTGCATCACAGTGTATCTATACGGCGATTTAGCCATCTATGCTGTCGGTACGTTCACGACTCTAGGCTTGGTTTCTTACAGTGAATCTTACGGTAGTTGCTGCGTGAATTTGAATCGATGGTGGGACTGCAGCCGTCCCAAAGTCTCTGCGAGAGATGATCTGTCCTCGACCTTCTGCTGACGCTGTTGTCTGGGCATGTTCGGACGAATGCAACAGCTCAGAGCTCTACCGTCTTTTTGTCGTGCTCTTCGGACTGTTGCTCGGTCCATTCACATTTGGCCACGTGCACAAGACGCGGACACTTCAGCTCGTGTCTACTGTTGTCCGCCACGCCTCGTTCGGGCTCATGATTGTACTAGCGAGCGTCGGAATCGCACGAGGTCACGGACGGAGCGTGGCTGACGTCGTGAGCTATGAAAAGCCCTCGAACATTGCCACCTTTTTCGGCGTGTGCATCTATTCGTTCATGTGCCACCACAGGTAAACGAGAAGACTGAACTTTGTTTTGGTACTGGAGATTGTTCGGTGAGGTAATGACTTGCTTCGTCGTGCCCGTGCTGTAGCGTTCCGGGCCTCGTGGCACCTATTACAAACAAGTCGAAAGTCGGAACGGTTTTGATTTCGGCCTTCATGGTACGTTCGCTCTGCCGTTCAATTTCTACTTTTTTCCTGTAGCTGTGTTCACAATTGCTGCGGAGTGTACCTGTTTGTATCGTAGGCGGTCCTTAGCGTCTATTTCGTGCTGTGCGCCTCGGCGACGTTCCGTTTCAAGCCAGAGGACGTCCAGGTTGGGGTGGAAGCTCAGTCCTGGTGCTGGTGGTATGTATGCTGACATGTCTCGCTCTTTGCTGTACGAAGGATGTGTACACACTCAACTTCAAGAACTACCCCGTGCACGCGTTTGGATACTTTCTCAGCTTATTCCCGGTGTTTACTCTAAGGTGAGGAGTGGGTGAACGACTGTATCCTTCTGCGTTACAACGACCCATCGAAGAACTGTGCTCGTTTGCTGTTCAATCGCAGTGCGAGTTTCCCGCTGATCTGCATCACCCTTCGCGAGAACATTCGCCACCTCGCATCGCGTGTGGTCGAGGCCAGCCCAGCGACCAACGCTAGTGCTCCGCGTGGCCTGTACGGTCTCGTACAAGTGAACACCTACGCGCTCGTGGCGCTTCTGCCGCCACTCGTCGTGGCGTTTTTCACGGAAGATGTGTCGATGCTCGTGGGATTCACAGGCACGTACGCTGGATTGGGCATCCAGGTACGTGGTCGCCCAGTTCGTGGCTCGTTGCAATTTCGCAGTGGTACGCACTTACAACCGCACGACGTGCCTGTGTGCTTTGTTCCTATCAGTGGCTTGTCCCGACATGTCTCGTCTACTGTTTGCGCAATCGTCTGGCAGTGGAATGGCAGCAACAACATCCGATGGAAGGAGAGCTTTCGCCAACTTCTGAGGCAACACCTGGACCCAAGAACCGCTACGCAAGTCCATTCGTACACGACGCGTGGCTCTACGTGGTGCTTGGGTTCTCGCTCGTTTCGGTCGTGCTAGTCACCATTACACACGGCATGCTCTAAGTCAAGCCCGGCAAAAGGTGCGACGCCTTTTGTTGCAGAACGTGCGTGCCAAGACGGGATTCGCTCGCTCGTGCAATACGGACTAGGGCGTGCAATAAAGACTGCGGCTTGAAGTCGGTAGCCGTTGCGGCGCGACTCTCTATGTCCGTCCTCGTGGTCGGTCGGTTTTCCAATCAACAAGTGGCTCGTTTCCCCCCCCCCCCTCCCCCGCTTCTCTGCCTCGTTTACGCCAAAAAGTGGCCTCGCAACTTTCCGCCAATGAACGACGGGGAGCTCCACTTAAGTCCGACGCGCCCCGTGCAAGAGACGTCTCCTCGACTTGCAGTCAGATCCGCGTGCCCGCGGCCCGACGACAGTCGTCCGTCCCTTGCGCACTCGCTCCTCGCCTCGCCAGAGTCTCTCCTCGTGCGTGTTCCTGGATCCGTTTGCATAGAGGAAAAAGCTCCCACGTCCTTACTTGGCCATGGCAGCGTTTAAAGGTCCGGCTGGCAGTTTGCGATAGTTGGTAGGGGATTAATTCTGGTACTAAACTAAAGCGCTGGTTATGTGTGGTCGTGTTTGGGTGTGTGTGTGTCTGTATGTGTTGTTGGACCTACAGCTCCCCCACTGTCTGCGTTTTTCCGCAAGGAAGAGGACAATCTGGTCACACAGGGACTCGCAGACGTGCATAGCGTGGCCATGTTCCACTCGTTGTACGACGTGGGTGACCTCATTGGTCGCGGCGCGTTTTCGCTCGTGTACCTCTGTCGGAAGAAAGAGACGCAGCAGATCTTTGCAGTCAAGGTCATTAATAAAGCACTTTGTGTAAAGAAGAAGACGCTGCGGGATGAGATCACTGTGTTACTACGGGTCAAGCACGCCAACATCATTAGCCTTGAAGAGGTCTATGAGAGTGACCAGGAGCTCTTGCTCGTCATGGAGAGGTACACTGCTATGGTAGAAATATGGATTTTCGATTGATTGACTGACTGACACTTTGCAGAGTTACGGGGGGCGAGCTGTTCGACCGCATTGTGCGCGTGGGCGTTTACTCGGAGCGGCAAGCGGCAGAGATTGTCACAAATGTGCTGCAAGCGCTGCACTATCTGCACTCGTGCCACATTCTGCACCGCGATATCAAGCCCGAGAACATCCTTCTGGCCAGTGGAGACAGCGGCGATGTCAAGCTGAGCGACTTTGGCATCGCCAAGATCCTGGAGGACGAAGACGATAGCGCACGTTCTCGTGGTCGCGCATACACAAGCTGCGGGACAGACTACTACGTTGGTAAGTGGATGGGTGGATAGTGAGCCTTGTATTTGTCGTGGTCTGACGATTGTACGTTTGTTATTGCGTCCAGCGCCTGAGGTTCTGAACGGAGAAGGCTATGACAGCAAAGTGGACCTTTGGAGCCTTGGTGTCGTCTTGTACATCATGTAAGTGAAAACGCACAGCTGCCGTTAGAACGATATGGTTTTGTGTACATACTTATGTGAGGTGGCACTTGTCAAGGTTGTGCGGATTCCCTCCATTCGCGGAAGATGAGAATGGTCTGGAGTCGGTGTATCTCAAGATTCGCTCCGGTGCATTGGACTTTCCGCACCCATACTGGACAAACGTGTCCGACGGAGGTATGCAGCTTAACACACTGATCTGTAACGTGTGATTGTCGCGTGTAACTCACACCTTTGAGTGTATTTTGCACATGTAGCCAAGGATTTGATCCGCAACCTGCTCAACGTGTCACCGCAGGATCGCTTTGGCGCAGCGCAGGCGTTGAACCACCCTTGGATAAAGGGCGAGTACAGTGAGCAGCCGCTTTCGTCAGCAATCCTAGAAATGAGGCGCTTCAACCAAAAGCGTCGTTTTAACTAACTCGACGATCTAAAGCTCCAGCAACGGCAGCCGGCACAAAGACAAACGAAGACAGAAAACATGAGGGCGCCACAAACTGCGGTTGCTGGGGATGCAACATAGACGTATTTCATAGTGGTTCTACTCGCTCCGCCCCATGCACGTACCTAAAAACATAAGCCTTAACTCGAAATTTGGATGGTTCCCATGTAGCAAAACTAGCAAACATCTCGTCTCGTTTCCTTCCCAGGTCCCGCTGACCACCATCTCATTATCAAAGCATGTACGTCTTGTAGCTGAGCGCTATCACGAATGTAGCGGACGCCTTCGATTATCAAACTGCATGTGATGAAGTACCAAGAAATGTCAGTGAACGATGTCAAAAAATTGAATGCCGAGGGCCGTCTACAAACCTCGAATCCTTCGAGACAAGAAACGCATTCGCGATGTGATCTGGAATATCGCGAGCGTTTGCAAAGACACCTCCTTTCTTCACACGAGATGCAAATGCTGCCATACGACTTCAGCACAAAAGATTAGATTTCCCTCCAACATACAGTCGTGATGAACAAAAAGTTCCAGTGCTCACCTGATCCGTGTAGCTGCCGACACAAGATGTGCTCCAGTTTCAACCGCCTTGGAAAACGTAACACTCCCGTCCAAGCAGTAGATACAACCCTTGACATTTTCCCAGACAGGCAGAAGTGGCGAATCCAGCAACATCAGCTCCAATCCGTCATTTTCTTGGAGTCTTCCGGTGCGATAGCGATCATACAGACTCTTGGCGTCCTGGAACTCGGACACAACAAACGGTACCAGCGGCAGTGATACGACACCAAAGATTACGGCAAGGAGGCCGAAAACAACGAACGATGGACATCTTTTAGCAAACAACACTGCCATGCCAAACGACCTTGGAGGTGGAACGGCATTCAGGCTTTGCTTCAAATAAGCAACTAGCAACTGAAGCTCGCCAGCAATTTCCACGTTCCGGAGCTGATTCCGCAAACGACGTAGTTCAGGGGTAAACACATGCACCGCTGCTTTTTCCATAGAGTCGAGACAATCAGTCAGCATCCTAGACAGCATCTCCAACGAAAAATCGGTGGGTTGCTGCCAATATTCTACGATCCAGTTTCCTAGACCCAGAAAGAACCACGCATCCAAATCAACATCCGTATGAATGTCGCTCGCTATGTCGCTAAAAAGCGTATTCAACGCGCGCCGACATACTTCCTGCAGCTCGGATGACGTGACTGAGCCCAGCACAATTCCAGCGGCATCGATGAATGCAGGCCCAAGCAGTCGCATCGCATCGGCCCATTGACCACGCCACATGACCCAATACACGATCGTCAGGGAATACGCAGCAAACTTGAGTCGTCTTCCTTCACCCCACAATTTAGCCTGCTGTCCAGCGCCAGTGCGGAGTGAATTGGTCACGAGTCCTGCTGTAACTGCGAGTACCATGCCTGCCAAGCGCATATCTTGTTGTAAGAAAAGCATAAACTTCAGCTGTCCAAACACCTTCAAGAAGACTGGGATCACAAAGATAAACCGCGGAGCCCATGCGAAAGCACCCAACTTGTCGGTTGAAGACTCCACCCAATTATATGCAAATTGTACGGCTCGCTTCTTAAGCTGCGTGCGGTAAAGACATATCACCAGCATGGATATTACCATGATCTTCTGTCGATGTACAATTGCTTGTGCAAGTAACGCAAGGAAGAAAAGCCCCAGACCAATAGCCACACGTCGCAGATTTAACAGCTCTGAGAAAATGTACACAGCCGCTAGTCTCGCCAGCTTCAGGATATCCAGATGTGCCAGGACGCGTTCCATCTTCGATAGAAACACGGTGGTCTGTGTCTCTCGGCCACCTTGTACCGCTCTCTCTCTACTGCTTGCCAATTCTCGGGAGGCCTGTGCTCGTTGGCGAATCTGTGCTGAGCAGCTCTCGGTCGCACTCGATTTATCTCCATAATCTGCTTCCACGTGACCTAGAACTTCCTTGCTTACTAGAGCTTCGCCATCACTCTCCTCTTCACTTTGGTTTAGCAAATCGTTTAAAACGGCCACTCGAGCTTCTTTTAGCCCCGTCTGAAGCTCCTCATCCTCAGGATGTAGTGCAAGTCCTAGTACAGCAACACACAGCAAGACAACGGTGCAAGTAATAACAGAGTTGATCATTAAATAATTGAGTAGGGAGAATCCGCGCAAAGTAGAAGGTGCAGAATATTTACCGCTCTTGTACCGGGCCACAGCATCCTTGTGTCTACCCAGTCGAGAGAGTGCTCGAGCGAGCAGCAGAAATCCTTGAAGAGACGTTTTGTCCAGATCCAAGCAGGCTTGAGCTACATCCGCTGCTTTATAGAGTGCGGACGTCGTTCCTTCGTCCAACAACTCCTGGCAGTGGAGAATTAGCTCTGCTAACGTCTTCGAGTCTTGCATGGCTTTGTTCTTAGACTTTTTGCATTGCGAGAATATTCGGATTGTAAGAATGCTTTGATGGGATCCAATAAAACCGCGGGACATGTAAAGAGACGGTACTTTGTTGTTACAACGTGTACTAATCGAATTGCCGATTGGCAAGTGGAACGAACACGTCTCGTTGTAGATGATATGAGTGACATTTGTAAGTCGAGCTAGGATACTGAAGCGTGAAATAGACTCTTTAGGTAGTACAGATAAATCCTGCTTGGTACACTTTGTAGCTTTCGTGTTTCACGACCTGCGAGATCTCTGTTTTTTAATTGCCGATGAACAAATCGTCGGGGTGTCTACGCTGATGCCACAAACCTTGCTACGCAACGATGGACTCCTATTTAGCGAACGTCGGCATGTTTAATGGATATGCGGAGGCGATCTCGATTCGAAGCATATCAACATGTGCGATGGGATGCATCAAGGTGATTTACTGCTTCACCTCCGCATCACACAAAGTGTAACGGGGTTGCACGAAATCATGGTACTTTGTACCAGAGGTGTTACACACCTGAGGGTTCGCTTCTGTGAAGGTGATATAGAATATCTTATCGGTTTGTAGGGGCTGACAAGTGTCAGCCATTAGATACGAAAGATCTTTGAGTAGGATTAAGATATTCTATAGGCTTTAACATTAAATAAAATCAGTTCCCATTTTGATCTGAAAGACGCGTGGCTTGTGAGCCGTCTTGATCGTTGATCTCTGATCACTAAGAGTTAGCAACACCTCCTTGAGGTAGCTACTCTATAGCACTAAGTGCTGTCGATTCACTGAATCGTTAGGTCCCCTGGAACAGGGATCTGAAGCTGTAAAGCTTGCTGACTCGTAAAGTCGTTAGTTCTTTGGAACTAAGTTGCTCGTAGAGCGTTAAGTCTTCCTCTGACTTAAGGAGCTGTGTAGCTCCGCTACACTTGGTAGCACTTGTAGTCAATCTACGCCTGAGTCTTTAAGACTGATCCTCTGTGAGGATGGAAAGCATCACTCCCCTATCTGAGGCCCAAAAGGTCGCGCTTGACAAGCTGACCGCATCTTTGGGTCCAGAGTACGTGGAGTTTCTTGTTTCACAAGGTCCTGAAGTGCTTAATGCACGTGTTGACGGCTTCATGCAGTATGAAGCGACCCTTTTAGGGCAGGTCCAAGACCAAATAGCGTCGGCTATGCCTACACGCTTCGTGTCTGTACCAGACGAAGAGGTTAAGCCTCGTCCACTTAAAGTGGACGTAAAAACTACTCCGGCAAGGAGGGTGAGAATCTCATCCTCTGGATCCGTGAGATCGAGATGGCCATGAGATCAGGCCTGATCACGCTTGACCATCAACAGGTCTCGCTGGCTATCTCGAAGCTCGATGGTAGAGCTAGAGAATGGGCCTTGACGTGTAGCACGTCGGTGGACATAGCGTTTCCCACATGGGAGTCGCTCAAATCACAATTGGTACAGGTGTTTTCTCCACCTAACCAGGCTTACCGCGTGCGCTCACGCTTTCTTTCTACCCGCCAGGGTAAGAATGAATTATCGGACTATGTCCAAGAGCTGCGAACGCTCATGGCTGCAATGCAGTCTGACCCTCTGCCTGAAGCAGTCCATGTGACTATCTTCATGGAAGGTCTACGTACTGGCATTGCCAGAACCGAGGTTTTTCGGGTTCACCCTCTACGTTTGAAGAGGCTGTGAGAATTGCTCTTAATGCTGAGCATAATTTCAAGTCGGCCAGACTTGGTTGGAATGGATACAATCCTCGCTCTGTGAGAGCAAACTATTCGGGTACCACTGCCTATAATAGGCCGGAACCGATGGATCTCAGCTATGCTGAAGATGGAGGTGAAGCTGAGCTTCGAGCTGCTGAGCAGCAACACGTTGTAAGACGATGCTTTATGTGCGGAAGCACTAAACACTTGCGGCCTGGTTGCCCTTTGCGTAAGCAACGCCAGACTACGAGCCAACACTCGACCCCGAGTCAGAAGTCTGGCATGGCACGGGAAATGCCGACACCCAGTAGGCGCGGGGCGCCCTACTGGGGAAGAACTATGTTCTGTTACACCTTTAGGAGGTAAAGGAATGCAGGGCTTAGCCCCAAAGAGTACCATACCTACGGGTATGGTGCGTGGATACAAGTCTGGCTTGTTGGTCGCCGAGGCGAAAATTAAGGGCTTCGAGAAGCCTTGGTCGATATTGATCGATTCTGGAGCGTCTTGCAATTATGCTCGACGCCGTTCCCTTGAGGGAAGTCAGCGTTATGTTGAGGCGCTTACAGCGCATGAGGGTGATTCTATCACGGTTCGTTTAGCGACTGGAAGTCGCGTAACGGTGCCTAAAGTTCCATTGAACTTAGGTATAACGTTTTTAGACTTTGACAGTATTGAGCGCTGTCTTGTCCTAGATTTGGACTCGAGATATGATCTCATCCTAGGTATGGCTTGGCTTGAGCGCCATGAGCCATGGATTGATTGGAGGTCTAAGACCTTAGGCGCTACGCGCAATGTTCCTAGCGAAGCTTTGGAGAGTCATGAACCCACCTTTGCTAGGCAGCAAAAGCGC